ACCTGCTGAAGTTGCAGAGGCAAAATGGCAGAGCCTCATGGAGTTACGTGAGGTGCTGAGAAGACATGTGGGTGATGGAGCAGCCCATTTAAAACCTCTGCCATATCTCAAATGTGTGAGTGCATTGTTTCTTCCATGGAGAGTCTAGTGACTGTATGGAAAGACAGACCCAGAAGATCATTCTGTGGAAGCCTGGTGTTAAAAATAAGCTGCATCTATCACTGCCACCGTGGGTTTACACAATGGGAAGCAGAAAAGTGCTATCTTGCACTGAGAGGCCAGGGAATTGAACTGAAGGCTCCAGGTGGAAGTAAGTTGTAAGGTCAAGATGAGCTTGAACACTGCATAAGGAGAAAAACTAGAAATGAAAGAGAAAGAAATGGATTCAAGGGTAAGGTAGGGTGGACTTGGAGAGGAATATTGGTTTGGGAAACAAGGGGAGATGGAATAACAGTAAGAGGTGGCTGAATGGATAGCTTCGAACTTAGTCTGATGCTCCTCACTTGTTGGTAGTGATGGTGGAAGGAAAAAGGAGATGTGTGGAATCGAGGAAAGGAAAACAAGAACTTACATAAAAATGTGAGATACCGAGTGAAACAGTGCGCAGCCCTTCAGCTTGTAATAACAGGATTGAGCCCTCAATTCTACCTTATACAGATCCATGCAGCAAAGAGAAGGTTGAGCTTTACAAAGAGTGGGTAAAAGCTGGAAAGGAAGTAGTCTCAGGGTATGTTTGTTCTCCTTATGTTTACTAAAACCACATCAGCAGACATTTGAAAATGGGTTAGAGTCCGGCTGTTGACGTAGATGAACCATTAAAGATTCAACATGTTCAGTTGGTCTGGCAGCATATGTGGTAAGGGAAACAGATTAATATTTCAGCTCAATGATCTTTCATCAGTTCTGAAGAAGATTACCAAGCTGTAAGGTTAACTTTGTTTCTCTCTGCACAGATGCAGGCTGACATGCATAGCATTTTGATGTGCTATCCATTTTCATTTCAGATCTTTAGTAGTCATAGTATCACAATTTTGCTTAAGTTATGCTATCTAATTTCTCAATTTTCAATAATTTAACAACAAATGCAGCTCAGATTTATACAGAACCTTTAACGGAATAAAACATGTATCACAAGAACATTTTACAACAAACAGGATGCAGCCATAAAGAAATTGGGATCAGATAACTGAAGACTTATTCAAAGAGATAGGTTTTAAGGAGCATCTTAAAGGATGAAAATGAGATGGAGAGGTGAAAGGAGGCCTTGAGACATGACCAACTGCAGCCATAGATACCAGTGCTGAAATGATTAAAATCAGAGATGCTCAAGTGGACAGAATTAGAAGATTGCACATATTTTGTAGAATTGTGTGGAGGGGCTATTATAGAAATGAAGAGGGCAGTGTCATGGAAGGAATTAAAACAAAGGATGATAATTTAAAATCAAGATGTTGTTTAACCAGGAGACAATATAGTTGGCAAACATAGGGAGGAATAGGACTTGGTGTGATTTAGTACAAGTTTATGGAGGAAAATGTGGAAGACCACATTGGAAGAGTCAGGGTTAGAGCTAACAAAGGCATCAATAAGGGTTTCATTAACTGATGAGCTGAGTCGAAGTCAAATGATATTATGAAGATGGTCTTAGTATAGCTCAAATATGAAGTCATGCCAGGAATATCAGTTATCAGTATTGCCTGATTGGCTGTACCCACAAGGTCATTATTAACCCTTTCTGTTGACTCTGCTATGATCTTTATCATAACTTTGTTTATTTTACTTGTCAGTTAAACAGTATTAAATAAAATTAGCACAAATACAGGTCAGGGGCTGTTATTTTACAACGAGTGACTCACCTCCTGACTTCCCAATTCCTGTTTGGCATCCAAAGGCACGAATCAGGAGTGTGATTGAATACTGATAACACAGTGTGGAGCTGGAGGAACAGAGCAGGCCAGGCAACATCAGAGGAGCAGGAAAGCTGATGTTTCGTGTCAGGACCCCTTGTCAGAAATCAGATTTCTGACGAAGGGTCCCGACCCGAAACGTCAGCTTTCCTGCTCCTCTGATGCTGTCTGGCCTGCTGTGTTTCTCCAGCTCCACACTGTGTTATCTCTGACTCCAGTATCGGCAGTTCTCACGATCTCTCTGTGATGGAATACTCCCAACTTGGCTGGATGAGTGCAACTCCAACATCATTCTAGAAATTTGATAACATCTAGGACAAAACAACCCATTTGAATGGCACCCATAAAATTGACTCCCTCAACACAATGGCAGCATTGTGCACCATCTGCAAGCTGCACTGCACAAACTAACCAATACTCCTTCACCAGCAGGTTTCAAACGTGTGACTTTCACTGGAAGAACCAGGCCAGCAAGGTGCAAAGTAACAAGAACATCTGTAAGATCTCACCAGGTTTTACACATCCTCAGTTTGAACTTTCACTGTTGCTGGACAAAATCCTGGGACTCCTTCCCTAACAGCACTGCACATGTGTCTAGAGCACATAGACAATGGTAGCTTTTGGGAAAAGCTCACTTCCACCTTCTCATGGGTAATTACTTATGGATACTATATGTTGGCCTTGCCAATGATATCCACATCGCATGAATAAATACAATGTATAAATCAATAAATTGCAATAAATTGTCTACAAAATAGATTTGGAGATGCAATGGATGATGAAAATCATGGGAATTTTTTTTTCATTTTGCTTCAACAGCAAGATGGATATGATATTTTACTGTCATCAAAATATTTAGTTTCTTTTTCAGCATCTTCCAGTTTTCTATTTAGTTTGAAAAAGATTTAAAGGACAGTTAAATCCTCAGTACTAAGCAAACTAATATTTTAAGTGTGCCTTATGTTCATTACATTACAAAATAAATTGCATGGCAATATTTTCTGTTTCAAATAAAAACAAAGCAGCAGCAATTGTAGGAATGTTGCATTTAAAATTTATGCAACACCATTAATTACACAGAACCCCAGAACTCTGATGAAGAGTCATCTAGACTCAAAATGTTATTTTGCTTACTGTCTGTGAATGCTGCCTGACCTGCTGCAATTGGCAACACTTTTTGATCTCAGTACAGATTCCAGCATCTGCAGTAATTTGCTCCTAGATCAGGTTAACCAGTATAACAAGGTGTAGAGCTGGATGAACACAGCAGGCCAAGCAGCATCA